ATTGAATCAACAAGGCGTGGGCCTAGGTTTGCATTCATGAATCCATCCGGACACAAATCTACCACTACGTTGAGATAGAGTTTGAAGCAACTAACAATCAAGCCGAGTATGAGGCCTTCATCATTGGTTTGTGTCTTGCTTATGGGATTGGAGTGTGACGCCTCACTCTGAGATCCAACTCATAGCTAATAGTCATCAAGATGAACGAATAGTCATGGCAAGAGAAGAGACAATGATGAGTCAGATGTAAGAAAATTTGAGTATTTTGGAATTGAACATGCAGCTCAAGAAGACCACCAGATCGCAGACATGTTATCAAAGTGTAGTAATCTCACTGAAACACCATCCCAAAGGAAAAACAACATCCCACAATACAAGAAGCGGAAGTCATGGAAATAACGTTCAAAGGCATAGAAAGAGCAATCAATTAGGTGTACCCATACATAGACTTCCTCAAAATCAGGGAACTCCCCTTAAAAATAAAAAATTGTAAGCGCTTCAGGATCAAGGTGAGACATTATCTCCTCTTAAATGAAGACTTATTCTGGCGATTAGCGGCCTCCTTATACCAATGGTGCATACGAGAAAATGAGAAAACCAATGCCCTACTAGAAATGCAATCGGGTGAGTGTGGAAGCCACTCTTACTGGCAAAGGCTTGCAAACTGAATACAATATCAAAGGCACTTCTATCAACCCCTCAAAAAGGGCATTAAAAACTTCTCGAGGAAATGCAAAGGATGCCCGAAGTCTGCTCCCATGAAAGTCAGGATGTCCCACAAGTAACAGTCGATTATGAGCCCCTGGCCCTTGACAATCCAAGGACTCGCCCAATTGGGGCTTCTTTTTCCATCTCAAGATCAATGAAAGTTCATAATAGTACTGATTGAATATACTTTACCTCCTAAGGAAGAAAGTTGAGCAAACGAAAGAAGATTGTCTGACATTCTCCTGTTTGTTATGTGGGCACTCAAAACTACCCCTCCAACTGCGACCAGGTAGACCCCTATCTTGCTCTCAGAAGGAATTGAAGCAGTGCTTCAGGTAGCATATAACATGCATGGCCAAGGAGTAGTATTCACCTCGACTTTCAAAAAGCATAACCTAGACGAGTGGCAAATCAAGAATGATGAAGGGATGGAACTTTAACTGTACCTGTTGAAAAAAAAAAACACCTTGTTAGCCTTCAAGCAGGTAGAAGTCAAGGGAAGGATGGCTCAATACGACGTCTTAAGTGTTAAAGAGAAATCATTTCGGTGACCTAGTGTTGAAGAAAGTTGATCTCGCAGTCTGCGGCCAGGTGATCGGGAAGCTCGATCAGACATGGACAAACCTTTCATCGTCAGTAAGTGCATAGCTCAAGAAGCGTACAAGCTACAAAACACGTCCGACTAGGAAGTACCTCACTTGGAGCAAAGACGATTGGTAAAATCATTTGTATTATTGCTTTTCTTTTGAAAGCTGTTAATTCTACACAGAAAGACATTAATCACAACTAGAATCTGAAAAACCTCTTTTTTCTGCTGCAAGACAAAAATGATGATCGTCCGCCAATAATTACAGCTATTCTTAGTACGAGCTAATACTCATTTCAAGTACCAAAAATAACTCGCTAGTCTTGGCCAAATCTGAAAGATCTCCCAGAAGGTCCCCAATACAGGCTGACATGCACCATAAATATAATAAAAAAGGGAGGACTAGGGGTCCATCCTAGCACAATACCTGATCAGCACACTCGGGCTCGAGGAAACTAGCAAAAGAATTCAATTGCTCAAAGAAGCCAAAATCCCTTGATAACAAGGATATAAGAGATACAAAGAGTTTAAAAAACGACAATATAATTCATCATTTGCTCGACATTTCTTCATTTAACAATGCGTGAACGACATAAAGTCCCTCTACTCTAGCCTGGATCATAGGTCAAACTCTGGCGATTGAATTATCCCATCACTCGCGACAAGATTCATGGTGATTGATACCCAAACCACCTCAGTAGCAAGCCTAGATGGTTTCCTCCGTAAAGACAACAATAAGATCCACTTAATATGTCTAGCAAAATGCATGATCCATCTAAGACAAAGACTTAACAGAGAGTATATGGATAGAATAAGACTCGAACCAGGCGTCAAACACGATTAACAGGTTGTGCAATCCAAAGAGAAAATTAAGTAACACGTGAGGGCATCCAACTTCTACAAAATGAAATAATCGATATGATAATAAATATGCCCCAATTACATAATAAAGACAATAAAAACAACCATTTCATTCCAATACTAAAGAAAGTTTTTTTAGAGGGCAACTGATTACATATTACAGGAGGCCCCGACATTACCCTCTTGCTCAGATTCAGTGACAATAGTTGTAAATTGGTCCATGGAAGCCCCAACCGAGGAAACAATGGGACAGTTCACTAAGCGGTCCAGGCAATATTTGAATTTTTCACGAAAGTTTAGCTTGCTGAGCGGCAATATACACAACATTGGACGGCAGAGCTTGGAGAAAATCATAGGGTAACCTCATTGTCATCATCCGAGCAATCAGTCTCCTATTGTTTTCATCCCAACCCATCATAGTAGCATTCTCATGTAGTCAGCTTTGTCTCCAACAAATCCAGCCCGATCATTTTCTCCACAACAGCCTCTTGTGCCAACACCATCTCCTCTTCCAAGAACACGATGCTCCTCTCTAGCATTGTTTTATTGGCTTTATCTTTCCTCCTCTCCTTTAGCAAGCAGCAGGAAATGGTGATCAATACATGGGAAGTCTGTCAATCGATAGTCTGCAAGCAACTGGCCTCGAATGCGAAGTGATTCACCTCCATCCCCTCGAACATGGCATTCATCGAAGGGGAGCAAACTACCTCCCCAAGACTAAAGGCGTATCAAGTAGTGTGGGGAAGGAGTTCCAATCTTTCTTTAGATCTACCAAAGCATATCGATCCTTCGTGCTCCACCGCACCATGATGCATCTCCTCATAGATGTCCACTAAATGGGAGGCTTACTACGAAAAGTCAGTTGTCTCTGTTTCAAAGTGGTTGTTCTCTCCACCATCTCTCTTCTTCGCTTGCGCTGAACTCCAAGGTGCTCCAGCTCATGGACAATGTGGATGACTTGCTCAGTTGAGTTGGCCACCTCATCCTGGGTTATTGGTAGGACCAGTCGCCTCCACGGCAGTGTTTTTCATCCTCATTATCCGAAAGCATATGAAAAAAAGACGACACCGGTCAACCCCTCTAGGACTGAACTCTCCACGGCAAGTGCAAGCACAAGAAGAGTAAGTGCCTCAAAAAGTTTTGAGCCTCCGATCTCCAGCTTCCCTCGCAGTCATATCAAAAAGTTACGCAAAATGTGCAGGGTAAAGAACTCTACTAATAAGAAACAAGTCAATAGTACACATGTTTATAACGAAAGGCATCGAACTTTGTGCTCTGCCATCTTTTACTAAATGACAAACACATTAAAAAATAAAAACAGAAGTCTAAATAATGCTTATTCTCGTTTTTTTACTTACAGTTCGAAAAGACAGGACAATCGAGTAACTAAAAATATATAACAAAAAGTAGCCTCTTATAGGTCCTATCGAGCCAACTAGAGCAAGTAAAAAGATGGACACTAGGTTATGGCTACGAAACAAAAGGTTCAGTCAACCAGTTGGATCAGGAGATCCTCTACAAGCTGTGAAAACAACATAGAAAGGGCGACTAGAAAGAAGGCGAACAATCCTTAACATCAAGCAGCCAAACCCACCAAGAGCGGGATAGAAGGGATTGATTGAGCACAAGGCAAGCAAATCTCAGTATCAAGCGGCCAAGCCCACCAATTAAGTATCAAGCGGCCAAGCCCACCAATTAAGAGTCTCAGATTCCCTGAGCAAGATCAACTGATAGGTTAAGGCATCCCAAAAAGTTAATCGATCAAACACAGACGTCCAATAACAAGCATATGAAATTAAGTCTCACAACCATGCAACTCAAAGCTAGAGCCAGACAACTCAGGCAAAATTAAAGGGGGCAACTCTCGATGTCCTGTGGGGAGTATGAGTTCCATGGCTTAGGAGAAGCAATAATTATATATGATCCCACTAGAAAATCCTTACGACACAAATTTCTTTAATTTTGAATAGTGTAACGCTTCTCCACAAAAAAGAGATAATTTGACTCCTATAAATAGGAGATACTGGAAGATATGAAGGTGAAACTTTGTTTTAATTTTACTAAGAAATTTTAATAGAAATTCAGGACTTCTCTTTTTCTCATGAGCTCTCCCTCTCTCCTCTTCAATGTGTCCCTTCTATTCCAGGGTGTGATCCAAAGACAAATCTAAGTTCAACATAAATCAATAAAAAAATATATCATACTAACACAAAAAAAAATATTAGATATGCTTAAATAATGAAGCAATAATATTGCAATTGCACGTGCACAAAAGTATAGGTATGTAATTATTGGATACATTACAAAAATATGTAAGCTAACTGATCAGAGAGCAGAGTTTAATTAAAAGAGAGGATCAAAAGTTTGTGATTTAGCTTAAGAATTGTTCTTCAAACATAGCAGACGAAAATTCCCTTAGAGCACATTTGATCGTTTTAAATTTAAAAATATACTTTCAAATATAATTAAAATTCTGAAATTAATTTCCACATACTTTCTGAAAATTAACTACCAATAACGTGACGATAGAAAGAAACTATTAAATCTATCTCAAAATCCGATTTATTAAACCCGAATTTACATCAAAAAAGAGACAGAACACAAAGAAAAGACGGAACGCGAAAAAATTCATTTTAACAAAGCATTGGATTTAATTTTCCTTTTTTTTTTCAATGTTTGGTTGGATTTAGGCTAAATACATGACTAAATCCTATTTAAATTATGCTATCAAACACCGCCTAAACTTCTCATTTTTTTTATCTGATAAGATTTAACTTAAATTAGATTTAAATTCATTATTAGATAGTCCCTTATGATGGAGAAATACCACCCATGGATGGTGCAATTCAGCCACAACTCAAAATTACATTATTTCATACAACATAGCACAATACTAATTCATTAACACAAATTAATAGCAGAATAATACCCAAATCAACAAAGTTTCAAATGAAGCTTACCATCATAGTCCTCAGTGATTAGACGCATAATGGGCATATTTACTCCACACTTTTAAAACCCAAGTTCCAAATCTTTAAAAGATTTCAGAACCTTCATTTCTTCAATCACATGCAAGCTCAAGTACTTGAAATTCCAATAAAACTTAGGTGAAATATATATATATATCAATTTAGAGAGTTTGCCACGTCAACAACGAACCTGTATCTCACGTCTCCTTTGGCAAGACGTTCGAAGGCCGTGTTGACATAATCCATAGGAACCACCTCCACATCTGCAGTTATATTTTTCTCTGCAGCAAAATTCACCATCTCTTGCGTGTCTTTTATTCCACCAATGAGGTTTCCAGCCACAATCTTACCACCTGCAAGAGTCAAACTTTTAGGTTTTAGATATGTAAAGACATAAGAATTGTGGTATGTGTGTAAATTTCCCAAACATACATAAAAGCTATTTTTTAGCTTTCAAAGAAGCTAATGCGACCAAATTAATTTGCAGAAAATATGCTAATAGAAAAGAAACATATACTTGCCCTGTATCACAGAGTAAGCATGAAGATCGAGGGGCTTATTTGGGCCACCAACCAAAATCAGCTTCCCATATGTTTTCAGCAAGAGGATCAATGGGGTGATTGCATGGTGTGCAGAAACTGTGTCGATGATACCATCCAGTGTGCTAATTGCAGTCTGTAGCATCGAAGGAATCATGGAAGATTCAGATGAGGAGAATTAGTGGCTTTTGGAATATAAATATAATAAGCAAAAAGTGTCAAAATAGTCCCATGACTATTTACATGGGGCCATTATAATCCCAAAGTCTATAGAAGTGTCAAATAGTCTCCAAACTCTTTTACTATGCGCTAAAATAGCCTCCGGTGAGAACTATTTAAGCTCTCATTAAAAGAATATGAAGACTAAATTGACACTTTCATAGATTCTAGGACAAAAATGACCCTTGGACCATTTTGAAACTTCTCTTCAAGAATAATGTACTACAAAAAAAATGACTTTCCTAATGTTTAAGACTAAAAAATATTCTGAGTTTGAAGTTTAGGAACATAAATTGAGGTTCAAGTCAACATTAGGCTTCTCTCAACGATTTGAGTTTGGTCTTATGAATCTACATTCTTCATTTTAATTGACTCAAGTGTTGTTTGAGTAGTTAAATTTATTTTTAGCAAATCTTTTTACAAGAGTTATGTTCGTGTCGCCTTTAGACTTTTATCGCCTCCTATTATTTGTTGGAACTTTGATGTTTCAATTTGAATGCCGATATCACTCACAAATCGATTTTCTAATATTAAGTTGATTTGCTCCTGCCAAAACTCTATAATAATCATTTCACAATCTATCTGTTCTAATTTTGCAACAATCCATCGTAGCGTTCTTCTTCCATCACACCCATTCAGATTATCTATGAGGCTCTTTTAACTTCTTTATGAACCAACATTTGTGTTCATATAATATAAATGCACTTCTTCATTTTAACTGCACGATCTTAAATCTTGAAAATCATATCCTCGTCTACAGTTTTTATGTAATCCTTCTTCATTTTAACTGCACACCTGCTCAAACCACAATTTACAAGTTATAACTAAAAATAAATCCATAAACATCAATAATACCTTCATTTGATTGTCATCACTGCTCACCAAGAACGAGTCTGCTCCCAACCTTTCAATTGCTTCCTTCTCCTTTCTCAAAGAAGTACTAATCACTGTAACTTTCATACCAAAAGCCTTCCCAAACTTCACGGCCAGGTGACCGAGTCCCCCAAGCCCAACCACACCCAAATGCTTGCCGGGCACATCGAGTCCAAACCGCTTCATTGGGGTGTAAACTGTGACCCCGGCGCATAATAGTGGACCTGTTTTGTCCAGTAGCATGTTCTCAGGCAGAACGACTGCGAAAGCTTCATTCACAACGAGGATATCAGAGAAGCCACCATATGTGCTTTTCCCGTCTGGTAGAATACCATTTGAGGTTGGGATGGCTTTCAGGCAGTAGTTCTCATGGCCTTCCGTGCAATTGCCGCATTCGTTGCAGGAGCCAACCATGTATCCTACGCCAGCTTTGTCCCCAATTTTGAACTTTTGGACCTTCGGCCCAGCTGCGGTCACTATTCCCACAATCTCATGCCTAAAAGAAAACATTTGGTTAAGAAGATTCAGTGAATAGAGGAGAATAAAGGACTGGTCCAGTTCTTTTGCAAGTAAACGTGAAGAAAATTATTAAACTTTCATGATTTTGTTTGGATGAGATGACAATTCTTAGGAGAAATCATCATTTTTCAATGAGTAGAGCAGTATCATAGTCAAAAAATGATATATAACAATTTTCAGTAAAATCACTTCACAAAAGTAGGAAGTATGCACGTTACCCTGTAAATCTAAAAGCCAGAACATTGCTTACTGCACTTAAATGTTAATCAAGGAAATGGGGTATATTTATTAGTAATCCCAATAGTTTTCTCGTAAAATAACCATGGGTTTAGATAATAGGAGCTATTCTAATAAATCAAAGTTAGAAAAACTTAGGTGCTATTTGGCATGGCTTTGTCATGACGGTGCTTTCATGAAACGCACCATCAGCCCGTTTGGCTTGCGTGTTGCAGGTGCAGCAGTGGCGTGGTAGGCTCCCAATCACGACACGCAAAAGAGGGAAGCATTCTGTGGAGGGCTCTGTTCCGCAGTTCAGGCTTTTTTCTGCTCAGCTCACCCATTCCCATCTTTACTTATTCCTCGACTTTATCTCGGAAATAGGATCAAATAGGGCCATAGTTTCTTCTGCAAGCTTCGTTCTCTTTACGCAAGGTTGTGGTTGATATCTATTCTTGCTCTCATTTTTTTCACTCGGCTACTGGTGAGTAAAACCCTAAATGATCCTCTGTCGCTCTCACTCTCTCTCTATTTTACTCTCATTGCTTCATGCGAATAGCTCGGTTGGGGTCTTTGGGGATCATTTCCACTGGAACTTCTGGTTTTGAGCCGTTGCTATGAAATTTGGGCTTTTTGTTTCTCTTGAGTATTTGATGTTACCTAGAATGCTTATGACACGGCGTTGGGCTGACGGTGTGGAGGAATTTGTTCAATTTGGATTGTCTTATTGTTTTTTTTTTTTTTTCTGTCTTTCTATGATTGTGGTCTGGATCTTTCTTTCCATCTTTCTGTGATCGTGGTATGATCTTCTTGGATTGTGTTTTGATTTTTTTGCTGCTATGGTGATCATGGTATGATCCCCTTATGAATTTCTGTCGTTGGATGGGGAGTATGTTCTTAGAATGCATTTCATGGTTAAGCCATTTTTATTCACCATTTAATGTTTCCTATAATTCTTAGAGAATGTCTTACATGAGTGTCTGGTTTGAAGGTGTGTGGTATTTTTAGGTGTTTCATATGTCATTATAATTATGTGATAAGTTCGAAAATTCCATCTATTTAAGCATTAGTGAAAGTCTCATTTTCTGTAGATGAGCAGTTTTTTATCTCCTTCTTTGCTCGCATATCATTGTTGAGATGATTTTCTAATGAAGAAAGGGTGTGGTACTTTTAATTGTTTCATATGTAAATACATCATAGTTGTGTGGTATATCCGAAAATGAGACTATTTGAATGTTGAGATGGAGAGGATGTATTATTGAAATGATCTTCTCTATACAGCAATTAGTGTTACCTATAATTCATGGATGGGGAAGATGCAATGTTAGCTATATGAATGTCTTGCATGAGTGTCTTACATGAGTTTATGGTTTGAAGTTGTGTGGTATTTTTTGGTGTTTCAAATGTAAACATATCAGAATTGTTTGGTATATCCGAAAATTTCATATGCTCGGGCATTAGTGAAAGTTAAGTGATGAATGATTCTCACTTTGCTTTGGATGGGCAGTTGTTGATCTCCTTTTTTTCTCACATTAGCATTGCTTTAGAATTTTGTTTTTGTTGGTTTAAGTAGTTGTAAATGTATTTTATATCTATGTTTATTTAAATCTCGGGGGATTTACATACATAGCACTCAAATCTTCTCTACTTCCATATCATATTAAAAATACTATCACTTTCAAGTTTAAAAAGTGAAATACACTTTTCATGCATTGGTTATTTGACGTCTAGGTGTTATATATGTAAGAAATTAGGTATTGAGTGGCATGCATGTAATCCATCAGCAAACAAATTGTTGGCATTATTAGGTGAAGAGCAAATGCCTCTTCTTTTGTCGTATTAATTATCCTTTTTTCAATGAAAGTCATAGCACTTTAATGATTGTTATGTACGTGACAATGTAATTAATCCATTCATATAACATAGTTTCGTGATGGGAAAATTTAAAGATGATACAAGTGCAACTTGGAAGATAGATATTGAGATTATATTTTGTGATATATGCTTGAAAGAGATTGAGGTGAGCAATTAGCCTACCACACATTTCAATAAAAAGGGGTGGCAAAATATAATCAAACAATTTAAGGAATCAACTAGGCGAGAACATGATAGAGCTTAGTTAAAAAATAAATGGGATGGCTTGGAAGGATTGGAAGGTGTGCAAGAAGTTAAAACAAGGTGCAACTCGGCTAGGCTAAGACGCAATTGAAAAGAATATTGATGCCTCTGTCGAGGGGTGAAAAGAAAAGATAAGAGGTAAAACTTATCAATTTTCCTTTTCAATATATTTGCATGAGTACCTAATATTCACACTCATTATGCATCATTATAGATTTTTTTCTGAAACAAACAAAATTAGATTTGTTGGTATAGATCCTGAATTGGAAGAAAAGCTCGATGTATTGTTTGGAGAACTTGTTGTCACAGGAGTTCATTCTTGGACTCAAGCCCTCAAGTTATTGAAAGCTTAATAAATGAAAGTCAAACCCGTGAAGATGAAGGCAGCTCGGATGATCCTGTTGAATTGTCATCAAAACCTAGTAGTACTTCTTTTAAACAAGCTATCTTCATCAGTACACGATGAAGGGGAAAAATGATATCAACTGGACATATTCGAGAATAAATTTCACAACTTGTCTCTATATGCACGAGCATGAGCTCCTCCAGTGTAGTAAAGGCACCACAGTTGATACATGATGCTATTCCAGTGTGTTGATCAAACTCCTAAACTTTTAATGAAATGCCCATTTAACTTTTGCAACAAAAATTCTTGAAGTGCCTATTAAGAGAGATTGTTATATCAATGTCCATGAAAGACGGTTCACTACCTCCGTCGTTTCTTCCAAAGTGATCATGCTTCAACTTTATATGTTTTTGTACACGGCGTTAGTCCTTGATTTGTTGTTGAGAACTATGAACATTATGGTTTGTACCTTATTATTTAATTATGTCTGTGGCATTACTTGTTTATGAATGCATATACAAATGTGAAAGAAGAAGAGCGACGACCTAATATCATTATTGTTGCGGTGTGTTTATTGAATGCATATAATGAGTCATTTTTATGTAAGACACCATGTATAACTTCGTCATATTAGAAGGGCATTCAAGGAGATTTTACAGTATGTTTCGCATGTCACAAAAAATCTTTGTTGAACTTTTGCAAGTGTTGGAAACCAACCATGGTCTCTGTGGTTCTTCCAGGACAACGAGCAGAAAAGTTCTAGAAATCATTTTACATATATTATCTCATAATGAGTCAACAAGGGCAGTATGGGAGGGGTTCCAACATTCAACTAAAACAATTAGTAGGTATTTTGTTGTAGGCTTAAAGCATTGGTTAGCTTATTGGTGGAGGTGATATGACCTATAAATTTAACAAATCATACAATCCAACAAGAGATTTCACATGACTCTCGATACATGTTATTATTTTACATACCCTTATATATCTCAATTTTATTGTTATTTGTGGTTAAATAAATAATTCAATAATAAATATTATATATTTTAAACAGAATTGCATTCGAGCTATCATGGAACATGTGTTGATACTCATGTTCCTAAAGGCAAAAATGTGTCACATATTATTTGATGTGGTCCACCAACTCAAACTATCATGGCAACATGTGACTTCAACATGTGTTTCAATTTTGTCATGGCTGAATGGAAAGGGAGTGTCCATGATAGTCGCATATTTAAATTTATCACACGTAATCTAAACTATAATTTTCCAATGGCACTTCTAGGTAAGATGTAAATAAGGTTGTTATGAAAAAATAATTTTTTACATAATTTTAATGCATACTCGAGGAAGTATTATGTTGTCAATACGGGATGCCCAACACAAAGAGGTTTCATGAAGCACCTCCTTACGTGGGGTGATTGAGAGAACTTTTGGTGTTTTGAAAAAAAAGTGAGCTATTTATGAGAAATGTCATACTATTCTTTCGAGAAACAAGTTAAAATAATCAGAGCAACAATGATCTTACATAATTACATGAGAAGACATTTGTCGCATAATAATAAATAATTCAATGTACTTAACGAAGACAAAAATATGAACCTCTCGAGACACATGAGTTTAATAGGACGGATTATGCCAAAATTTAGTCAAACTTTAAAAGAACCAGTGTCAAAATGGGGAGGGTGCAAATGAGAAGATCATGCTACGAGATCAATTTGTGGATGCTTTGTCGCTATGAGTGTTGTGAGGATCAATACCACTTTTCTTTGTGTCATTAGTTGTTTTGCTTGAGAGGTTTATGTAATGAAGTTTGAATGTACGACTGGTTTTGCTCACATTGGTTTTTGTTTTACTTCATAGAAATGAGGATTTAAATTAAATGTTTGCTCCTACATGGATGGCTTGTTGGGAAACCATGGGTTTTTTAAAAATTATTTCATTGTTATGAACATGCTGAGTTTGCTCCCACTTGGATGGCCACCTATACAACTGTGGGTTGTTTTTTTATTTTCTTTTTCATTGTTATAAGCATGTTGAGATTGCTCCTACTTGGATGGCCTATTGGTCAACCGTGGCTATGTTTTTTGTTTTTTATTTTTTGTTTTTTTTCAGTGTTATGAACACATTAGTTTGCTCGCACCTGAATGGCCTCCTGAGCAACAGTGAGTTTGTTTTTCTATGAGGTTTATGATGAGTCGTATGAACCAAGGAGTTTTTTGCATGACCTTACTACAGCTATGCTTTACGATGTCTTATTTTGGTATTAAAGGTTTTAAAACAACCAAGATCCCCTT